GTTCTGAGGAAGGGTCACCGGACCCGAAACGTTAACTCTGTTTTCTCCTCCACACGTGCTGCCAGACGTGCTGAGCTTTTCCAGCAACTTTGTTTTTGTTCCTGATTTACAGCATCCGCAGTTCTTTTGGTTTTTTTAATTATGACTTGTCACTGGTCACTTTATTTTGGCTTAAATGTTATATTTGCATACCGTCACGTAATCTTATCAAACTTTAGCATGTGATCGAATAGCATTCTTTCAAACTGTGCTTAGACTATAAACCCTCCAAATACACTTGTTAACCAGTGCATATTAATATAAAGAGGCATTGACAGCTTGCCAATTATTACAGATTTCAGTGTACAGAAGGATTTTCTGAGCTAAAATGTGAAGTAGATAAAACGCAGTTCTCTGAGTGTTAATATTGCCGTGCCAACTCTTGCCTGCGATTTACGTATTTTATCTGGATTATCCAGCTCTGTGTGATCGCCACACGCAGATTACTGAGTAGCAACACCGGAGGATAAATGCATTACAAGATGTGACCGTGAAAAGGAAATTTTAATAAATCTTTTAAATTCATGAAGAACTGTCATTCAAATATATGTATAAGAAAGAAAATCACCAAGATATGTTTGTATTTGAATTTAGCTCTCTACTGAGATGCTTAATTTCCTCTAACTTTTTATCCCCATAAAACAATGTAATGAATGCTGTGATACTTTGCACCCACATATGCTTAATTCTTGTACATTGTTCTACGCATAATACCCATATGCTAGCAAGAGCTCCACTTATTGGAGACTGCAGGTTTTAATATTAGAATTAAATTAAATTGTGTGTCATTACAATTTCACAGAAAATCCAACAGACGACTTGGGAATCCTATAACCTAAGATTAAAATGTCAAAATTCAACCGGTTTATAAGTAATGTTATCGCGAAGATCTGTAGCCTCAGGTCGCAGTTGGAGTTGTTGATTGGTTCGCCGAGCTGACTGGTTTTCGTGCAAATGTTTCACCACTACCCCTTCTAGCTGACATCTTCCATGCTGTCTTCCATACTATCTAGCTTCCATTGAAGCGCTGTTCTGTTCCATTCTGAATTTATATGGTCTGGTCTGTTATGGTGGGTAGTTCTGTTTCTGGTTTTGCTTCATAATAGGCTAGTCAGCACTGAAGATGTCACCTAGAAGGTGGAGGATGGGGGAGGACACGAAACGTTTGCACAAAAACCAGTCAGCTCAGCGAACCAACCAACAACTCCAGGCTTGTGGGTTTTGGTTCTTACCTATACATGCTTATGACGACATTTCCATTGTGCATTAGGTAGACAGATGTTTCTTCTACATCTTCATGCTTCATCATGTTAAAAATAAAGAAATAAACACCTGTAACAAAATAACACAAAATTTATCATATTGTTAATATCTTTGCATTTTATATTTAATTATATTTATTGGTCATTGTCACAAAGTTATTTTTGTAGTCATTAAGCTAGAGTGCTAGGTCCAAACATCTTTATAATTGACTATTCTATCATCATAAGGTCAGGAGTGGGAATGTTTGCTGATGAATGCACAATGGTCAGCACCACTCTCAATTAGACAGATACAGGTACTGAAACAATTCATCAATATGCAGCGAGATGTATACAATGATATTCTCCCCACCTAACCATCCCTGCCTTGAGTATCAACATCCTAGAGGTTGATCAGAAACTAAAATGGACTAGCCACATAAATATTGATTTGGTGGTGGGGAAGGAGGCTAGCTGGAGGGTTGCAATGTGAGGTAGAGGGAAACATGGGGGAGGGAGACTAGAATTTACATGGACAGGTTTGCTCACATATCTCCAGACAGCCCATAAATTAAGAAAATCCTTTCCCACCTAATGTGTGAGGACTAAGAAAGACTTTTGGTTGTAGTTGAGGAAGAATTGTGACATGTCAAAACCTCCTTTCTTTATTCAATATCCATTGATGTCCATGGTTCACAGGATTTGTTGGTCACACCCTTTGTCTTTATTGGAACTTGTTGGCACTTTACTTTCCCCATTTCCTTCTTGAACGCATCCCACTGCTCTGCCACAGATTTAACTAAAATATCAGCTCCCAGGCCCCTCTGGCCAAATCAAATTTGATTTTATTAAAATCTGCCTTCCCCCGGTTTAGAACTTTGATCTCAGGCCCATCCTCGTTCTTTTCCTTGCTATCTTGAATCTAGTCAAGTTATGGTCGGACATGCTCAAAACGTCCACAGGTCGAACAAAGCCTCATAAAAAGCAAATCAAGCACACTTCTGCAGTTTCTAGATCTGCATTACTTCTAGACATGCGTCTGGGAGATGTTGTGCATCAAAATATACTGTGGATTCATAAAACAGATATGCAACTTCACAGTTTTGGAAATTCAGTTAAAAGGCAACGGAGCTTTAAGAACAAATAATATAGGACTATAAAATAATCAACAAGCTTGATAATGTGCTTCTAGGTCGAATATTCAGCAGTCACAAGAGGTCCAGAGTTTAAATTATGTAAAGCTATGAATAGACTAGATTCAAGGTAGGTTTTCCTTTACCAAAGAGTATCTGCAATATTTTGCTGGGCTATGAGGTGGGTATTGACTCTCCATTTGCCTGGAAGTGAGTGCTGTAGCAGTTTGTGACTGGGGCAGATGTCACTTCAAAGATAAAAAATAAAAAGTACTATGCCAATGGAATCTCCTTGACTAGTTTTGATCAATTGATGATGTTGCTTGGCCAAAAACTTGGAACTCCCTTCCAAATGGCATTGTGCATGAACCTACAGGACAAACAGACTGCAAAGTTCAAGAAAGCAACATGCTACCACCTTCTCAAGGGCAACTAGGAATGGCCAAGGCTTAGCCAGCAATGCCCACATCCCATGAGTGAAAAAGAACAAAATTAAGCATCAAAAATCTTCTCTCCAGTTCCATGCAAATAGGAATGTATCTAATCTTCAGATTGTCTATCTAGCTGTATGATCTATGCAATTCACTGGTGCTCAATTGTCATTCTTTGCTTCACATTTACATGGATTCTACGACTCAGTCAGGAGCCCTAATATTGTGCAAAGTATTTATTTTTAACTTCCCATATATCGACAGACAAAACTGTAGATAGGAGAAGACTAACTGTTCTATCCAGCTTGCATCACATCATGATGGCTGGAAGATGACACTTCTAAAGTACCACCAAACCCCCTTCAAACCCACTGTCACCCTAGGAATGTCAATAAGTCAGACAAACAAAATATAGGCTCAAAAAGAGAAAATGATTTGGGAAGTCCTCCTTAACACTGTATTTAAGCATTATTGTTGGAGCTGCGCTCATTCAGTCAAGTGCAGACTATGCTCTTGACTTGTCTCTTTTAGATGGTGGACAAGATTTGGGGAATTGGGAGATGAATTATTCAGTGCAGGATTCCTAGCCTCTGACCTGCTCTTGAACTCATAGTATTTATGTGGCTCGTCCAGTTCATTTTCTGGTCAATGGTAACTCCCAGGATATTGATAATGGGGGATTCAGTGACGGTAATGCCATTGAGTGTCAAAGGAATGATGGTTAAGTTGAGTCTTGTTGGAATTGGTCAATACCTTATATTAGTGTGGCATGAATGTTAGTTGCCACTTGTCAGCCTGAGCCTAGATGTTGTCCAGGTCTTGCTGCATTTGGAAGTGAACTGCTTCATTATTTGAGCAGTCATGAATGGTACTGAGTGCTACACAATTGTCTGTGACAATCCCCATTTCTGACCATATGATGGAAGGACGGTAAAGGATGAATCAGCTGAAAATGGTTGGGCCTAGGACACGACTCTGAGGAAATCCTGCAGAGATGTCCTGGAGCTAAGATGACTGACCTCCAAAAACCACAACCATCTTTCTTTGTGGTCAGTATGAATCCAACCAGTTGAGAATATTCCCTCCGATTTCCGCTAATTTCAGTTTTGCTAAGGCTCCTTGGTGCCACACAGTTAAATTGATGTCAATGGCAGTCAGTCTCACCTTATGTCTGGGATTCAGTGTTTTTGGACAACAATGACAGACGGTTATAATAATGGACACATCCAAACTGAGCAGGTTATTTTGAAGGAAGTGTTGCTTGATAGTACTATTTATGACTCCTTCCAACACTTCATTGGTGTTTGATAGTAGACTAACGGCCATATAATTGGCCAAGTTAGATTTGTTCTGTTTTTTGTTTGCAGAATCTACCTCAGCAATATGCTACATTGTCAAGTAAATCCCAGAGTTGTAGCTGTACATGAACCACTTGGCTAGAGCTACTGTAAGTTCTGGGATACAAGTCCTACTGCTGCAATATTGTCATGGCCCACAGCTTTTGCTGTGTCCAGTGATAACAGCCATTTTGTGATGTCATGTGGAGTAAATTGAATAGGCTGAAGACTGGTATCCGTGCTTCTGGATATTTCCAAAAGAGTTTGAGATGGATCATCCACTCGGCACTTCTGGCTGAAGATTGCTGCAAATGTTTCAGGCTTATCTTTTGCACTGATGCACTGGATTCCCAATCATTGAAACTGATTATAGTTGTGAGGCCTCCTTCTCCAGTGAGTTGTTAAATTGTCTATCAACAATCATGACTAGAGGTGTCGGGAATACAGAGCTTAGATCTGATCTGTTGCATGTGGATCACTTTACTTTGTAAATGACTTGCTGTTTATGCAATTTGGCAGGCCAGGTAGACCAATGTTGTAGATTCACGTTGCTTTTGGCGTGCCTTCCTGAACTTCTCTTTGCACAACTGTTGCTCTCTGGCTTAAGCATAAAGTGCTAGAGAAAGTCAACAGGTCCAGGAGCATATGTCGGGTGAAAAACAAGAGTTAACATTTCAAGTCCAAAGACTCTTCATCAGGACTGATCAAGTCATGTTCTGACAAAGGGTCACTGGACACAATACATTAAGTCTGTTTATCTCCCCACAGATTCTGCTAGACCTGTGAGTTTTTCCAACGCTTTCTGTTTTTTGTTTCAAATTTCCAGCAGTTTGCAGCTCTTTGGTTTAGTTTTGAACTCCGGCTTGGTGGTAATGGTAGACCGGGGAATACGCTGGACCATGAATTCTACTACTGCTGACAGCTCACAGTCCTAATTGATGTCTATTGTCGAGTTGCTAGATCTATTTGGAATCAATCTCATTTGGCATTGTGGTAGTGCCACACAACAGAATGGAGGGTATCTTCAATATAAAGAAGAGACTTGATGTTCACAAGGACAGTATTGACCATTTCACCCTACATATTCTCCCAGACCTGATGACTTTCTCTAAGACGTTATGCTTAAGCCAGAGAGCAACAGTTGTGCAAAGAGAAGTTCAGGAAGGCACGCCAAAAGCAACGTGAATCTACAACACTGGTCTACTTGGCCTGCCAAATAATGCTGACATGTTCATCTGCGCCGGACAAATTGATAAAGATGATCTCAAGATGCTTTTCTTGCTTGTGAGTTCCCTCACCACCGGCTGCAGGCTCAGTCAAGCAGCTGTGCCATTGAGGACTTGACCAGCTCAGTCACTAGTTGTTCTGCCATGCCATTCCAGCTGATGGTTATTGAAAAGTCCCATCCAGAGTACCTTCTGCACCCCCGCCATCCTCATTGTTTCCTCTATAGATGAGTACTGATCAATCAGCTGAAGTGGGGAGATATGTGGTAATCAGCAGGAAGTATCCTTGACCATAAATGACTTGACTTCATTGGGCTCGGAATCAATTATTTCTGTCAATTCTACAATCTCTTACTTATTTCAGGTTCTTTGTCAATTAATTCCCTGATTCTTCCCTTTGTTGAAAGTGTATTGTATAAAGTTTGCTTGCCACTTTTCTGAATACACTGAACATTCTGTGTCACTCAAATAATTGCTTACTTAATATTCAGCATCAGTGACTCCTCTCAAATGAATAATTTTGACTGGTTACAACTTGTAATTAAACGTACGCTCCAGAAGGTTAAAATGTCTCATTACTAAAAGCAAGTAGATATCAAGTTAAATGATTTGGATATGAAATGTCACCACATCTTCAGTCAGTAATGAAGAAAGCAAATGATGATTTGTTACATTTAAAGGTGATCTGCTAATTATTTAACAAAGCAGTATAGAGCACAAAATATTCACAGTAACATCTTTCTGTTTGGAAGGAATCAAGGAGGAATATTTGCCTGCTTTGTAATTTATAGTCTTGTAACACAACTGCCAGAATAATCTTTCAAACTTGCAGAATCTGAGGCTGGGATTTTATTTGCAATGAAGGGTATAGAAGTGAAGTGCCTGTAATCATATTGGTCAATGAGGCATGCTGTCGACATAAATGTCAAACAAATTAAAACACTACTTGCAGAGCATTTCCAAAAGAGAATAACTCAACAGAATTTGATAAAAGATTCTTTCAGTTCTATAAACGTTGTTACCAACAAAGAAATAAGATCAAGGTGAGGATAGCTGCTAATAATGAAACTGAGGTGGGAATCACTCATGTATAATTACTGGAACATGAATGTTGGGGACCAATTTAGTTGCTGCGGCAAAAGCAAAGCATTATTATTATTTTTAAAATGCAGGGGCATGAAGATAATTAGTATTTGTTAAACTTATATGCAAAAATAAGATACACTGCACTGACACAGGCGAATGAACTTTCTTTCACCATATGCAGTCAATGAGAATCTCATTCACATGCACCTTGCACCAGGATTAGGATTACATTGGGTAAATAGGATAATAGCACAGAGAAATGTTGGCCCAACAAATTTCTGTCTGTGTTTATGCTCCACTTATGGCTCCTTCCATTATTCCTCATTTAAATTGCCCATCCCACCCTTCCCTTTTCCCTCAAATATTTATCTAGTTTCCTTTTAAACGCATCTATGCTTTTTACTACAACTACAGCCTGTGACAGCAAATCCCACATTCCCACCACTCTTCAGATAAAAACCTTTTGAGTGAATTACCAATGGGTTTCTTTCTACCTTATATTGGCTATGTAGTCATGTTCTTCCCCACAAATGGCATAATTCTCTCCGCAATATCTCAGAATTCAAATTACTAGGTTAGGTCTCCCCATAACTTACTATTTTCAAGAAAAAAATTATTCAGCCTGTCAATCCCTTCCTGATATTTTGCATTTATTTCTGGTGTCACCTAGATGGCCTCATTAACATCCTACACAAAAAAAAACAAAGAACTGTGGATGTTGGAAATCAGCAATAAAAAGAGAAATTGCTGGAAAAGGTCAGCAAGTCTGACAGTATCTGTAGAGAAAAAAGCAGAGTTAATGTTTCAGGTCCAGTGACCCTTCTTCAGTTTTGAACATACTGTTTGACTTCCCACCTGTCAAATTTAGTGGATTTTGTATTGAGTATGACTCAAGTTGCTCAGCTTCAAAGTAAACTTAACCCTATAATATCTCAGACTAAAGCGTTGTTTGTGAGGAAGTACTGGGAGATTTGATGAATGCACAAGCCTGTGGTATGGATGTTTATTACTAAGATATTCTACAATTTCTCCATATTTCCACATACAAAATTCATAAGTGCATAATGATGTATTTGGTAACCTTGCAATACTCAGATGAATTTATATTCACATTTTCTTAGCTTCCATTGTCTGCACGGATCAAGGAGAACCTGAGAGGATCATTGAATACCAACCCCATCAGCACCCAGTTATAGAAGGCATGAACAAAGATGCACATGTTATAGGTCAACTAGTGAACCTGAGGAAGCATCAACAAAGGGTCTAGCATTTGGCTAGGATGATAAAAATGAATGTGTTGGCATCTCTCATATGAGTAATGTCTGCAGTAATGACCTCAGTGGAGTCTGTACTTGAATGTATGACAAGCCCAGTGGCCTCCATGAAGGTTTCAATTCACAAAATAATGGAATTCTGGAATCATACAGCACAGAAGAGTCCCTTCAGCCCATCAAGACTGTTAACCACCAAAGCTATGCTAAATCCATATTAATTGTGCAAATCAGGCACACAATAGGAATAACTCTAGACTGGTGATATAGGAACTTTGGGTTTCCAAAACCAAGATCTGTAAATGCTGGTTTAGATTTCTTGGAGAACATTTACAAACCAAGTGAAAAGGAAAGAAAATGTGAATTGTCCAAAGGGAAACAAAGAAAGTGGCTCATTTCCCAGCATAGAGTCGAAAAGTTATAGAGTTGTACCCCACGGAGACAGACCCTTCATGCCAACTCGTCCATGCCGACCAGATATCCTAAATTAATCCAGTCATGTTTGTCACCATTTGGCCCATATCCCTCTAAACCCTTCCAATTCATGTGCTCCCCTTCATGAGCATGGCAACATTTAAAAGACATCTGGATGACCAATCACCTCCATCACAATGGTGGAGACACACTATTTGCATATATTACAGGGAAACCCCTGAGACAGGAAGCAATTAAACATGAAGTTCAATAGTTTTGTCATCGTCGTTGGTTGCCTCTCAATTTGAGGATTACATCTAATCTTTCTGACACCTAATCATATGGCTGAACCGATCGATTCTTGGCTTGCTATGCTTTGGAGGCATAGCGTGGAATGTCACACAAAATAGTGGGATCTGAGTGCAGGATTTGCTTCCTTTTTCTTTCTTCTCTGCTGCCTCTCTGCCTCATCAATAAGATGCTGTGACTAAAAGCATGATCGTGCTTCATGGACAAGTTTACTCCATTTTGAGCATTTGATAGAAAGCTCTTCCCATTAATTAATGTTAGTGTTGTTGTGTTTATAGAGAGTTTCAAAATGTGTTTGAGGCAGTTTCTTTTCTCTCTTGTGAAACTCTGGCTCTTTGAAAATTGAGAAAACAAGACCTCATGGGGGCCAAGCTTTGCTGAATTGTTACATTTTGTCCAGTCCATCAAAGTTGATTTTTTTCAGGTATTTTGCCTGAATGTTTGAGAAGCTGGCTTTAAGAAGGACAAAGGCGCTCCCTTTTACTCCATAAGATGGAGACAGCTGATGGAATTTCTCAAGCGTTCTTATATACCATTTATACAAAATCCAGGTCTCACTACAGTAGAAGAATGTGATGATGTCAAGTGCTCTGTACACTTGGACCTTTGTTGACTTGTGTAAATCTCTGGTTTCAAGCTCAGTGCTGTTTTTTGTAGAAGGCTGACCAGGTGTAGTTGATCTGGTACTGGATCTCATCCTGAATGGTGGCCTTTTAAATCCTTTCCAGAGTCTCTTCTTCAACATAGATAGGAGGTAGAATATTTGGTTGACCAAGTGTGCATTGATACGAGTTTTGTTTTAGCAACAGTTAAGGGCAGGTCAACAGGGTGGATGGTAATTATTGTGTAGCAAGCTCCAACATATTATTTTGACCTGTAGCCTAATTCATTCTTGTCAGATGGGCTAGTTCAAAGTCTATCCTAGAATTTTTAAATTGAGTCAACAACACAAAGCTGCAACAGGGCCGGATTTTGGTTACCAAAGCAGGTAGCTCAAGTTTGAAAACCTCTGAGCTCTCAACTTACCAGCCCACCTAGTTAAAATATATCCAGACACACTTGAGCAGGGAATACAGTCGGTTCTGCCAATCACAATAGCAAGCCCTTGGCAGCCACAGAGGCAGGCAGGCGCTGAGATCAGCTAGTTAGAAAGGCCTGCTTGGGGTCTTAGGGCCTTCATCCCAGTTAGTTTGGAAGTTTTTAGGCCTTAAAGTCCTTGAAGCCACATTTCTTCAACACCTCTACACCAACCAACATTCGTAGGTCCTCATATATTCCATACAAATTAAATTTCCTAATGCCCTTTATATCCTCCATGCCAATCTTTGCTCCTCTATGGCTCCTCATATCTTTAATGTCAAATCATACCTCCCATGTCACCTCTGCAGCCACTCACCCACTAGTGACAATGGAAGACTTCATGTGGCAATGAGAAAGGAATTTCTAACACTCAGTTACAGTTCTCAGCCTCCACAAATGATTGTAAAAATATCCATTAATCCATTTAAAGCTTTTAAATCTCCTGAAGTGATTAATCTCTGATTAATCAACAAATAAATATCTGTTCAGTTACTGTATAAAAGAGAGAGATGATCCTTTAATTGTCTTTTAAAGCAGTCAATCATAATGTGAACTCAGAATCCCTCAGCTTGAGATAGTTTTAGTTTTTTCAACCTGAATTAAACATTCATTATTAGGTAATGATGGATTGTGTGGAAATGTCAACAAAATGCTCAATTAAAATTGTACAACCTAACTTACACTTATCAATCAAAGCAGCTTTTACTGACAGCTGCAGTTGTTTTCCTTGTTTTGTTTTAAAATATACCTCCTGCTATTTGATTACATTGCCATTCTGTAGCAGTTCAAATCAGCCTCAGAATCATGAAATTTAACTTTTACAATATCATCCAAAAGCATTTTTTCCAATCGCCTTTAACTTGGAATTAATTGACAATAAGACTTAAAAATTTGTTATTAACTCTTTTTGATATTTAAAATAGAAGGATTGACAAAAAAAAAAAATGAAGTTTAGAGTTGCAATTACACGTGCTTTTACTGCAAAAAACTGCTGACAACTGAGATCACTTCTTAAAGTGAAAACCTGTTAGAAATAATTCACTGAACTGAGAAACCTGCACACTGGGTGCAAGATTCAGAATCATGCTCAGTGTAAGATAATTCTTCTGAGACTTAATATTTCATCCTTCCTGAATCACTGCCATCTCCCTGTTCAATTATTCCCAATCTTATGAACAAGGCTTGATGCAGTTGGAGGAGTTCTTCAGGCCTTGGGGTTCTGGCAAATTGTTACTATTGAGAAGCAGGAGTACGAGTATTCTTGTAAACACGTATCTGACCTGGAAGTGCATGTTGAATTCGATAGGGTCAAAAAATTATTGATTTTCCATGCCACGGCAACACCATTCCTCACTTTGAGTGTTAACATTCACCCAAAATGCTAATAAATATCATTAGCTATAGCCATTAAACAGTAACCATTAAGTGGTAACTACTAATTAATTGCAGATAGCTTTTTAACTTCACAATCTGTTTTGAAAATAGGAAGGGTTAGTAACAGAAATGATCAGTTCATCCCCTCAATTCTGCTCAGCCGTTCAATTAGATGATAGCTGATCTGCATCACAACTCTATAGATGTGCCTTTGCTTTATATCCCTTGATATCATTACTTAAGATTCTATCTGAAATATTCTTGAAAGCACAAATTCTCTAAGTAGCTCCAGTCTTTTAAGAAAGGTAGTTCCAGAATTTAGTTATTGTTTCTTTGAAAAAACAGAGAAACTACATTCTGCACTTTTTGGCAAATGAACCAGCTATAATGTCATCAATTTACCTGTTATAGGTGCAGTAAATCTTCCAGTCATAACGTCAAAATAACTTCCAACATTGGTCTCCACACTGCTGAAGATAATACCACTGTTCTGGTTTGTGAAATGAGTTGCCATAGAAGCCATGAAAGCAACCTATGTCAATTAAAGGGAGAAAACTGAGGTACCACTTTATTTGAACAAGTATGCAAATATCATGAAAGCTGTTGCTACATAACTGCTGATGTGTTTATTAATCAGTTAGTTTCAGAATGGTGATAATAGCACTATGAATGTGCTCTTGGGCAGGCAAACATTAATCTGATTAATCCAAATAATAACTCAATGATAAGAAATAAGGTTCATTTTATGCTATGTCATTGTTATGCTCCTAAATGTATTTTACTGAATATTAACTAACCTTTGTCCATTAGTTTTACACAATACAGTCATTTGTTGTGAACAGAATAAGATTGATCTTACTTTGAGTTCTGATGGGATGCCTGCTTGTCCCTTTTCTCCTTTAATGCCTTGAATTCCACGTTCTCCTCGGGGTCCCATATCACCTTTAGGGCCTTGCTCTCCCTTCTCACCCTCATGTCCTGGCAGCCCATTATTTCCATTATTTCCATGGTTTCCTATTAGAATGCAGATATTTGTTCTCCAGAAGTCAGTCAGTATTTGATTATCTGTAGCCATCTTTACAGAATCGATTCTTAAATAAATGTGTCTCAAGGTCAAAGTTCAAATAAATTCAAGGTCCCCAAAAGTTCACATGATGATTGTGCAAATTGTCATATCAAACTATGCGAATCAAGAAAGGTCCAGAGGTTTTGTTACATTATTTGAAGTGCAAGACAGGAATGCCACCATTGCACAAAATTTCCGATGTTCATATGCTTTATGTGGAAAAAAATAGCTCTGTATCCAAAATACACTGAGGCTATTCATAAGAAGAGAGGATATAGGAGAGGAGTGGACCATTAGAACACTGGGCTCTGCTGTGCCATTTAACAAGATAATGGCTAATTTTCTCAGTGCCATTTTCTCACAAAGTTTCTATATCCTTCAATATCTTTAATATTTAGATATCTTTCAATCTTTGTCTCAAACATATTCAATGTTACTTTCTACTCTTACGAATTTTTATAAATGCACTGTAGAAAGCATCCAATTTGGATGCATCACAGCATGGTACAGTAACTGCTGTTCCCTAGACTGCAAGAAACTACAGAGTCATGAACGCAGGCCAGTCCATCACACAAGCCCTCCTTCCATCCATTGACTCCATCTAAACTTCCTGCTGCCTTAGGAAAGCAACCAACATAATCAAAGACCCGTCCCACCCTGATTATACTCTCTTCCTCCCTCTTCCGTCAGGCAGAAGATATAAAAGTTTGTATACATGTACAAATAGATTCAAGAACAGCTACTTCTCTGTTGTTATCAGACTTTTGAACTGACCTCTCAAATGTTAATTCAGATCTTTCTCTCTGCACCCTTTCTGCTGCTGTAACACAGGGCAGCATGGTGGCTCGGTGGTTAGCACTGCTGCCTCACAGCGCCAGGGACCAGATTCGATTCCACCCTCGGGTGAGTGGCGACTGTGTGGAGTTTGTATGTTCTTTCCTGTGTCTGCATGGGTTTCCACTGGGTCCTCTGGTTTCCATCCACGGTCCAGAGATGTGCAAATTAGGCAGATTGGCCATGCTAAATTACCTATAGTGTTCAGGGATGTGTAGGCTAAGTGCATTAGCCATGAGGAAATTCAGGGCCTTGGGGAAGGGACTGTGTGGGATGCTCTTCGGAGGGTTGGTGTGGACTTGTTGGGCTGAATGGCCTGTTTCCACACTGTATGGATTGTAACCATATTCTGCACTCTGTTCTGCTACCCTGATGCACTTTGTAAGTTATAGTCTGCCTGTAAAGCACGCAAAGTACCACTTTTCACTGTATCTCAGTACATGTGACAACGATAAATCAAGCTCAACCTCAAACTACGAGCTTTTGGAGTAGAAAATTCCAAAGATTCACCACCCTTTCCAGGAAGAATTTCCCTCACATCTCAGTATGCATGACCCACTTTGGAAAAAATGTGCTGACACTCAGGTCCCATAACTCCTGGTGTAGTCATAAACATCAAAGATTAATCGAATTATTCAAAGTCCTAATTTTACTGTCTGGTTAACTCAGGTTAACAGAAAACATTGACCAGATTTCTACACTTAACAAGAACCACATTTTATTACAATAAATCAATTATAACCACAATCAAACATAATATGAATGAACAACTTATAACTTTCCAAATTAAATTCTAACTTCTTCTTAAATACCTTGTTCATATGCAGACAGACAGACTCAGACAAACAAACAAACTGATATTAATGCTGTGAAAATAAAAAAAGTTTGGGTGTACACAGTTCAATAGCACCAGTCCACAGGATTCAGTAAGGCATCCTTTTACTTCTTCCAAGTTCTTATGATTTCCACACTTTTTTCCAAGTCCTTTCAGTTCTTCACTGCATATACAGGGTGGTTGACGCACTGATTGTTCAGCCTCTCAGTCACTTTTTAGTGACAGTAGCTTATAGCAAATGGAGGGAGAGAATAGCTAGCTATCTTCAAATTCTTTTATTTCTCTGCAAGGAAAAACAGATGCTGGGCAGAATTCTAAAAGGTCCTGATTGATGTGAGTGATCAAGAAATCTATTAGAATCTTTTGAGATGAATCATAGAGTCTCTACAGTCTGGAAACAGGCCCTTTGGCCCAACAAGTCCATACTGACCCTCAGAGCATCCTCCCCAGACCCAGCCCCCTATAACCACCTAAACTACACTTCCCTAAACACTATGGGCAGTTTAGCTTGGCCAGTCTACCTAGACTGCACATCTTTGGACTGTGGGAGGAAACCCATGCAGGCACAGGGAGAATGTACAAACTCTACACAGACAATTGACCAAGGGTGGAATTGAACCCAGGTCCCTAGTGCTGTGAGGCAGCAGTGCTAACCACTGAGCCACCATGCTGCCTACTTAATAAAAACATCTTTGTCAATGTTGTTGTGTTGACAGCACTGAGCTACCTATTAAGTGCTTGTTAATGATCTGTTAACTTGTAAATCTTGTGTCATTAATATGCAGCTTTCTATCCTAGTACTGACCACAAGCAAACTAGATGTTAACATGTCTCAACATGGAAGGCAGTGAGGATATCTGGCAATTCCAGCTCACTGCTTGCTCATGAAGAACATTCATATTGGACACAGTAAAAACCAGGAGAAGGCAATTCAGCTTGCTCTGCCATTTAATATGATCATGGTTGATCTCATCTCAGCCTCAAATCTTGTCTACTCTTCATAACCATTCAATCCATTACCAACTAAATATCTATTTATTTCAATTTACTCAATACCCTGGCATCATATATCTCAGGGCATGTTCCATGGACACAGGCCACATGCACACACTGATATCCACAGACATTGGCTTTTAGCATGTGCCAACCTCTGAGATGCCCCGTGACACATCTCTGATCCACTGCACTTTAGTGCTGCACTTTGGGTTGCATGGAGATAATTATATTGCAGCAGCAAGGACGGCACAAGGACTCACACCCAAGTTCAAGGACTAGGCCAGCCTGCATCTCTGGGCTGTACACTTCCTTTCTTACCACTCACTGACTTTGAACCTACCTGGATGCTCACAGCATCCCTGTCTTTCCTCGCTTTCCCTTTTTGAGCCTTGCCCCTCAGCCAAAGATACCAGTCTAACAGCACTGTTATATTGCTTTTAGTGCAGATTCAAAGCCAGGATGCTTGTCATGGTCATCAGCAGTCCTTAGTCATGTCAAGGCGGGATAGCCTTCAGTCACGGGGTCCCAGCACAATAAGTCAAGGGTAACCAATGATACCAGTCTAGGAATGAGATGGAGAGGCAGGTATTATTGAAGATGAAAGAGGGTAGTACAGTTGTTACTACTGGTGCAGTTGGGGATGTGTCCAGACTGAGTGATTAGGCAGCACAGAGGGTATGTGGAGTACTGATGTCAGGGGTTGGGATGTTTGTGAGTGAGTGAAGGAGAATGTCGCATGTTATGAGCCTTTGTGGGGAGGTAGGTACAGCAGCAGAAGACATAGAGAGTGTGTGAGTATCAGAGTAGTGCCACTTACACTGGCAGGGTGGAGAAGGACATCCAACCTACATTGCTGTGCATTCTCCCAGAGACCTGAGACAACATTGACACAACCTTAGACCAGGTTGGCATGCTCTGGCATCGTGGCCTCCTCTGCTGGTCCTTAGGGAAAAGGACATCCCTCCTTTACAGCACCCCATTGACCTGAATCTTCAGGTCCCTGCTCACCAAGTGGCCACCAATTTTCCTTTCTATGCCATGCCTGGGGAAAATGTTAAGAATTGTGCAAGGCAGTGTTTCTTAAGGTGCAGAATCGACATGTGAAGCTGGCACTGAAGCCAGGGATGCTGGTCCATTTTGGGACATCTCAACAGTGCTGCAATGTTGTACATTCTCAGTATTTGGGAGAATTGGGGTAGAATCAGATGGAAGGTGCACCATAGGGACAGGAAAGCAAGCTGATGAGACAGGTTTGGTGAAGACATGGCAAGAAAACTCGACCAAAAGGAGAGAAACCATTTATGAAACTCAATAAATTGAAAATTAGCTAAAAAACGAAAGTAAGGTTCAGCCCTCCGACTTTTTGTTATCTGAAGGCTTTCTATCATTGTATTGTTCTTGCCTGTACTATCCACATGCCCTGGACCTATCAAAGAGTCGTTGTCACGCTGATGACTCTTGGCTCACACAATTGATCTTGATTGAAAAATAGTTAGTCTCTGAGCAACCTTATCCAGAACACTCACCCAGGGTATTGATAAGTCTCAAGCATCTAACGCTTGAACAACAATATAAACACAACTCATAATGAGAGTGCAATATCTCCTTCTACAAAATTTTCCTTGCCCAGTGCCTGCGAATGACCTGGGTGCAGGTTTCCTTTGGACCTCCTTGCTGCAATCCAGGCAGTGCCCACTAACGTGCGGCCATGTCTGCGGGATTAGTCAGCCAATCAGATTGCCCAGCAGCTCCAGAGGGTGGAGATCCTATCATTATGAAGTAGAAATCTCACTCTACATTAATGTAGCCCGTTCATCCCCCTTTATGACTGTTGAGCAGGTTTGTTGCTTGTCTTTTGCCTTGTTGCCGATTTTTACCCCGGGGTGATATGGGGTGGTGGTTTGATGACGAATAGTCTTCTGCCCTGACAAACATATGACCCTGTTGTAGTGCTTCTATGTCTCTGCTGCCTTGACCTTCCGGTTTGTGCATTTGGAAAGTGCTGTTAAGACGCCTTGGCAAGTTTCAGCAATGTATCTTGTAGATGCTATCACTGATCACCTGTGACGGCACAAGTTCATCTTTAAAATGACGGTTGGTTGCAGCCTGATTTGCAATTTGTCCTGAATGATGTCAAGCTTCTTGAGTAAATTTTTTTTGAAGCTGGACTCATCCAGGCAGGTGGACAACATTCCACCACACTCCTGTCTCTATGAGAAAATTAAGCTGCAGTCTCCACATTCACTGAATGAATTGCAGTCCCTCCTGATAAATGCATCCTCAATCTATACCATGAAATAGTTTGCGTTGATTCAGGGGAAGAATGGTAATTTTGATGACATACTGGAAGTTTTGCTGATCTTCATGCAATGATAAAAAACATAAAAACATAGAAAATAGGAGCAGGAATAGGCCTTTTAGCCTTTTTCACCATTCAATATGAACATAGCTGATCCTCTACATCAATGTCATAACTCCTGCCCTCTCTCCATACCTCTTGACACCTTTAGTGACTAAAAGTCTATCTGTATCTTTCTGAAACCTAGGCAGTGACTTGCCCTCCACAGTCTTTCTCCATGGATTCTCCATCCTCTGAGTGAGGGGATTTCTCCTCAACTCAGTCTTAAATGGTAGTAATTAAATGTAGGAATTAAAAAATGGGTTAAAATTGGAAAAGAATAAGAAAATGTTAAAAAAAATACAATTAATAACTCACCCGGAATACCAGCTTGGCCAGGAGGACCAGGCCATCCACGGGGACCAGGCTCTGCTCGGTGACAACAACGATTACATTCGAAATGAGCAGGCCTATCCACAATCTCATGTTGTTCCTCAAAACAAAAAATTAATTCTTAATTTGCAAGTATAATTCAGCAAGAGCTAAATTGAAAAGATTAGAAAGTCACTCAAGGCATTTGATTTTAGGATAACAAATTTTCAAGTTAAAGTATTTTTCATAGTTTCTTGGACGATAAAAGAACACTTGCACCCCACAATTTTTGATGGAGACAGACAAATGAATAATGTCACAATCATATCATAATTGATTACCATAAATTACGTTGGGCTGGAATGTACTGAAAATATAATAGCATGTGAGTACACATTTTGATATTACTATTAAAAAATGGCCAAATATTTGTGGTAAGGAAGAGATACTACATGAATTGCTTGTTGTCAGAAGTTTCTGGATGATTTACACTTCCCAGCAAGTTTTCCAAGGACGAAACCAAATTGCTCCCAGAATTTTATGGAGTTGCTGTTCTTGCACATTAATTGTATGAAACACCGCACAGAATGTTACGTCGAGTAATTAACCATGTAAGTACCCTTTTTAACAATATGGTACTTTGTTGATTACTAACAATCAACCTCTCTCGTCCCAAAAACAAACAATTCAAAGTATAGAATCACATTCTGACAGATTGAGTATTTTAATTTTTTTAAAAAAAACTTTCTTCTATTCTTACTTTCTGTCTTTTTTTTCTCTTTCTCTGAATCCAACCTTTGACTCCTTCTCTTTGGGTAAAATTTAATGTTTTGCTGCACTAATGGTGAGTTAGGAAGCAGGAGGACATTTAACCACGTCAGAAGATATGCGCTGCCCATCACCACATTAGCCCTATTAAGCACAAGGCAGAAATACTAGTGAACAGCCTTTCTGCCTGGCAGATTATTCAGGCCTTTAAGTAGGTAATTAATGTCCATTCAAGGACGTCATTCCAACAGTCCTTAGTAACTAACTGGTAGCAGACAAGGGAGTTATTACACAAGGAGGTTGAAAAGCAAACCCTCCCAGCAAGCTTCTGGCAGAGACCCCTTTATTTCAAGGCACTCATTGCCTGAACAGAGGACCCAGCATTGAGAAGGGAAGTGTCCACTGAGATCTAACCCATACCCTTTCTTCTAAAACTCTTTCCTGCAACAGTGACCTCATGTCTGAAAACCTATTCCACCTCACCTATGACCTGGGTTCCTCATCGATTGTAGACCTGCAGAGATTACATTACACAGCCATAGTGCTGACCAGCAGCAGAAAGTTCCTGATCTTGAAGCTCTTAGGGAGTAATTCTTACACCACAAAGACCTAGATCTCAGGGATGCCCTGTACTGCCCAGTGAAGTGCTTGATGTGCACTTATTTCTGTCAGTATTATGAAGCAACAGATAACAAGAGGCTCCTGTTGGTTCTCCAACTGACAGAAGAGACCATTACTTAAGTAATATTCCTCCCTTTATTGCTTGTGTCATGCCTGATTTGACATTGAATTCACACATTCTGATCACCTTCAATTCTTCTTTTATTTAATATTTAATCCTTTAATCCCACTGGTTAAGGAGATGCATTGATGGTTGTGTTGTTCACCTATGTCCCTGATGCCCATTCACCTCAACATGCCATTATCAACTTGTAATTCCAGCAATTTACAGGGCAAACAAATTTGTACTAACCAGTCCTGTTAGGAGATGCAGTGGTCCATTAAATGCTGCCTTTTAACAGTGAAACATATAGTATAGGAGGAGGAATAGTCCATTCGGCCATTCAAAACTGCTCTTCCATTCAATGTGATTGTGACTGATCCTCAATCTCAATGCCATATTCCTGTTTTCTCCCCATATCCCTTAATACCTTTTAAATCTAAAGGAATCTATCCCTTTCTTTAATATATTCAATGACTTGTCTTTCCCAGCCTTCTATTGTAGGGAATTTCACAGGTCCAGTAACCACTGAGTGAAGAAAGTTTTCCTCATCACAGTCCGACACGGTCTATCCTGTAACCCGAAACTGTATCCACTGGTTCCAGACTCCTTGCATTTAGTCTGTCTATACATTTGAATCAGATCCCTCTCATTGTTCCAAATCTAGTGAATATAGGGCCAGTCAAACCAATCTCTCCTCATAGGAGCTAGCTGTAAGAAGACAGAGGGTGATGGTTGATGGGAAATGTTCATCCTGGAGTTCAGTTACTAGTGGTGTACCTCAAGGATCTGTTTTGGGGCCAATGCTGTTTGTCATTTTTGTAAATGACCTGGATGAGGGCGTAGAAGGATGGGTTAGTAAATTTGCGGATGACACCAAAGTTGGTGGAGTTGTGGATAGTGCGGAAGGATGTTGCAGGTTACAGAGGGACATAGATAAGCTGCAGAGCTGGGCTGAGAGGTGGAAAATGGAGTTTAATGCGGAAAAGTGTGAGGTGATTCACTTTGGAAGGAGTAACAGGAATACAGAGTATTGGGCTAATGGTAAGATTCTTGGTAGTGTGGATGCGCAGAAAGATCTCGGTGTCCATGTGCATAGATCACTGAAAGTTGCCACCCAGGTTGATAGCGTTGTTAAGAAGGCGTACGGTATGTTAGGCTTTATTGGTAGAGGGATTGAGTTTCGGAGCCATGAGGTCAAGTTGCAGCTGTACAAAACTCTGGTGCGGCCGCACTTGGAGTATTG